TTATCCAACTGTCCATCCAGAGCCGCCATTTATAGACCCGATACATCCTAAATATAGAGCCATTTATCCAACTGTCCATCCAGAGCCGCCATTTATAGACCCGATACATCCTAAATATAGAGCCATTTATCCAACTGTCCATCCAGAGCCGCCATTTATAGACCAGATACATCCTAAATATAGAGCCAGTTATCCAACTGTCCATCCAGAGCCGCCATTTATAGACCGGATACATACCAGATACCAGGTGACCATATGAAAGGTTTATCTCCATTCCTCAATATAACGTCATGTGTCCAACAAATGAGGAGGAGATACTGTACACCATATGAAGGTTTATCTCCATTCCTCAATATAACGTCATGTGTCCAACAAATGAGGAGGAGATACTGTACACCATATGAAGGTCCATCTCCGTTCCTCTATGTAAGTCCTTTAGGAGCAACCAAACAACACAGGTTCCTAATGTAATGAGCAGTGAGAACCTCTTGCAATATCAACTGGCAGCAGCTTATACCGAGCTCACCAGGACACTCTTCAGGATAGAAGCTTCCTCCTAAGATTCTTCAGCAGGACAACAAACAGGCCCAAAGACACAGGCTAAGTTCTTCTTCATAAGGCCCAGGCCCGTCTTTCACCATCACCCAGGTAGCAGGCCTTGAAGGCCATGCCTAGACGCTTCCTAAACTGCAATCCTCCTCCAGGCCAAGACTGGGAGGGAAGACCTCCTCTCCTGGCAGGAGCCGAGAACACAAAGACCCTCTGGAAGGTCACCTCAGATATTTATCTCCGTCTAGCACTGGCAATACACTTCCTAGTGATTGAGCCGAGTGAAGATAATCAGTAATGTTTTGTACCTTGATGTGGTTGGTATTTGTAGTTTACTGTAATGGGTGCGTCCAATTCAAGGACGGAGCTCTGGGAAAGTGTTGAATGCTGCAGAACTATATATGACTCCGGAATGGAAGACGTATAAGAGCAAATATAACCTATAACAAAATTTCTTCCCGCAGATGTACAGAAGTGGAATATAAAGACATCGGAGGGACGTCTTATTATATCTCCAGATGGTGAAGCAGAAGACGGCGACATTGCGCAACATTCTCCAAAAGTCAATTCTTCCCATTCAGAGAGATCGATGGATCCGTCCAATCCTGAGGAACGAAGAGATCAAGAGCTCCACCTAATCCTGAGGAACCATCTGATCCATCACATCACATGACCTCAGATGTCCATCAAGGTCCTCACAGTGCAGAGAGATCAAGAGATCCGCCTAATCCTGAGGAACCTTCTGATCCATCACGTCACATGACCTCAGATGTCCATCAAGGTCCTCACAGTGCGGAGAGATCAAGAGATCCGCCTAATCCTGAGGAACCTTCTGTAAGCCACGAAGGAGATCACACAGGAGAGCGTCCATATTCATGTGCAGAGTGCGGGAAATCTTTCACTGATAGCAGAAACTTTCTCAAACACCAGAGAATTCACACGGGTGAGCGTCCTTATTCGTGTTCACAGTGTGGGCAATGTTTCACTCAGAAACGAGATCTTATTGTACACCAGAGAATTCACACGGGTGAGCGTCCCTTTTCCTGTTCAGAGTGCGGAAAATGTTTCAACAAAAAAGATAAAATTGTTGTACACCAAAGAACTCACACAGGTGAGCGTCCTTTTTCTTGTTCAGAGTGCGGGAAAAGTTTTGTACAGAAAATCGCCCTTCTGAGGCACCAGAGAATTCACACAGGCGAGCGTCCCCATTCATGTTTGGAGTGTGGGAAATGTTTCGCACCGAAAATAAATCTAATTGCACATCAGAAAATTCACACTGGTGAGCGTCCCTTTTCCTGTTCAGAGTGCGGGAAAAGTTTAATTAAGAGTGGAGATCTTATTGTGCACCAAAGGGTTCACACAGGTGAGCGTCCCTTTTCCTGTTCTGAGTGCGGGAAAGGTTTTACACAGAAAATCGCCCTTCTTATACACCAGAGAATTCACACGGGTGAGCGTCCCTATACATGTAGAGAGTGCGGGAAATCTTTTACTCAGAAAGGAACACTTATTGAACATGAGGGAATTCACGCAGGTGAGCGCCATTATTTATGTTCAGACTGCGGGAAATCTTTCGATGAGAAAAAGGCGCTTCTTACACATCAAAGAATTCATGCCATGGAGCGTCCACACTGCCTGCAAACCTTGGGAAACGTTGAACATCAGAGAGAACAGACCTGCTAATTCTTCTAATAGGTGAAACTGTTTTGTCTGTAGAACAGCCGGAGGAGGTACATGCCGGCAAAAGTGATACTTCAATTATAGAAGGAGTTTGATGGGCCGGGTCTTCTCTTGGCTTCTTCTAATTCTGGGTCAGTCCAATGGTGGGACGTACCTGCTCCAGTTTGGGATTCCTACCTGCACTTGGTGGCATCTGCATTTCTCTTCATAGGTTACACCGGAATGCTGAAAGACATGAGGCAGGGAACAGCTGTAATCACACGAGTTTCAGATATTATAAGGTAGGGGGCAGATAGACAAATATCTCCCCTCCCCCACCACATTCCCAAAGCTGGTGGAAAACCACGGCTCAGTATCATACCGTGGAACAAGTTCTTTACCAAACCCATGCCATGCCTTACAGTTCCACTAGGTGTCTCCAATGAGACCACAACAGTAGTGTGACCTTTATTGCGCCTACCAAGTACTCCCAAATACGTCGGTCTGAACCAAGCTTAGAGAGGTCAACCAGACTGGCATGGACCACCATTGTGAGGCTTCCGGAGTATAATAATGCCTCTGCTGGATGTCTTATTACGGTGATAGGAATGTCTTCCGGTCACGTTCCCTTGGCTTGCTTCAAGATCAGGCTTGGCGAGAAGTAACGCATACGCCTCCTAAGGTCACATTCCCATCCCGGAATCCATAGGTTGATGGATTGTAGGGCCATTGGCAGCCATGTCCCAGTCCATGGCACCAGAGGATTCACCTCCTAAGGTCACATTCCCATCCCGGAATCCATAGGTTGTGGATTG